CCTTTAAAGTGCAGGCATTGTACTTCCCATTTTCCAGGACTCAAGTCCGACTATATGAAAATAAACCGGTTTCCCTGAATCCCTTCACTAAATATTACCCTGCTCACACTCCAACAGATCGTCAGGTCCCAAGTATCATTCGTCTCCATTCACTCCTATCTAACACGCTCATGCACGCTTGCTGGAAGTCCAAGCCCCTCACCCACAAACCTCCTTTACCCCCTCTTTCCAACCCTTTCGAGGACGACCCCTACCCTCTTCCTTCCCCTATAGATTTATATGCTTTCATGTCATTCTACTTTGATCCATTCTCTCTAAATGACCAAACCACCTCAACAACCCCTCTTCTGCCCTCTGACTAATGCTTTTATTAACTCCACACCTTCTCCTAATTTCCACACTCCGAATTTTCTGCATAATATTTAACCACACATTGCCCTTAGACAGGACATCTCACTGCCTCCAACCGTCTCCTCGCTGCTGCATTTACCACCCAAGCTTCACATCCATATAAGAGTGTTGGTACTACTATACTTTCATACATTCCTTCTTTGCCTCCATAGATAACGTTTTTTGACTCCACATATACCTCAACGCACCACTCACCTTTTTTCCCTCATCAATTCTATGATTAACCTCATCCTTCATAAAATCCATCCGCCGACACGTCAACTCCCAAGTATCTGAAAACATTCACTTCTTCCATACTCCTCCTCCCCAATTTGATATCCAATTTTTCTTTATCTAAATCATTTGATACCCTCATCACCTTACTCTTTTCTATGTTCACTTTCAACTTTCTACCTTTACACACATTCTCAAACTCATCCACTAACCTTTGCAATTTTTCTTTAGAATCTCCCATAAGCACAGTATCATCAGCAAAAAGTAACTGTGTCAATTCCCATTTTGAATTTGATTCCCATAATTTAATCCCACCCTCTCCCGAACACCCTAGCATTTACTTCTTTTACAACCCCATCTATAAATATATTAAACAACCATGGTGACATTACACATCCCTGTCTAAGACCTACTTTTACCGGGAAGTATTCTCCCTCTTTTTCTACACACCCTAACCTGAGCCTCACTATCCTCATAAAGCTCTTTACAGCATTTAGTAACTTACCACCTATTCCATTATACTTGCAACATCTGCCACATTGCTCCTCTATCCACTCTATCATATGCCTTTTCTAAATCCATAAATGCAATAAAAACTTCCCTATCTTTATCTAAATACTGTTCACATATATGCTTCAATGTAAACACTTGATCTACACATCCCCTACCCACTCTGAAACCTCCTTGTTCGTCCGCAATTCTACATTCTGTCTTACCTCTAATTCTTTCAATTATAACCCTACCGTATACTTTTCCTGGTATACTCAGTAAACTTATTCCTCTATAATTTTTACAATCTCTTTTGTCCCCTTTCCCTTTATATAAAGGGACTATACATGCTCTCCGCCAATCCCTAGGTACCTTCCCCTCTTTCATACATTTATTAAACAAAAGTACCAACCACTCCAACACTATATCCCCCCCTGCTTTTAACATTTCTGTCATGATCCCATCAGTTCCAGCTGCTTTACCCCCTTTCATTCTACGTAATGCCTCACGTACCTCCACCACACTTACAGTCTGCTCTTCTTCACTCCTAAAAGATGGTATACCTCCCTGGCCAGTGCATGAAATTACCGCCTCCCTTTCTTCCTTAACATTTAAAAGTTCCTCAAAATATTCTCGCCATCTACCTAATACCTCCCTCTCCCCATCTACTAACTCCCCTACTCTGTTTTTAACTCACAAATCCATACTTTCCCTAGGCTTTCTTAACTTGTTTAACTCACTCCAAAATTTTTTCTTATTTTCATTAAAATTTCTTGACAGTGCCTCTCCCACTCTTTCATCTGCTCTCCTTTTGCACTCTCTCACCACTCTCTTCACCTTTCTTTTACTCTCCATATACTCTGCTCTTCTTATAACACTTCTGCTTTGTAAAAACCTCTCGTAAGCTACCTTTTTCTCTTTTATCACACCCTTTACTTCATCATTCCACCAATCACTCTTCTTTCCTCCTGCCCCCACCCTCCTATAACCACAAACTTCTGCCCCACATTCTAATACTGCATTTTTAAAACTATTCCAACCCTCTTCAACCCCCCCACTACTCATCTTTGCACTAGCCCACCTTTCTGCCAATAGTCGCTTATATCTCGCCCGAACTTCCTCCTCCCTTAGTTTATACACTTTCACCTCCCTCTTACTTGTTGTTGCCACCTTCCTCTTTTCCCATCTACCTCTTACTCTAACTGTAGCTACAACTAAATAATGATCCGATATATCAGTTGCCCCTCTATAAACATGTACATCCTGGAGCCTACCCATCAACCTTTTATCCACCAATACATAATCTAACAAACTACTTTCATTACGTGCTACATCATACATCTTAGTGTTATATACTTTAAATACTATTATTTTCATTGTAGAATGATTTTTTTTTTAAATTAGCATATAAATATTTACTTGAATATGCTCTGTTCCTCAACATTGTTATATGGAATCAGAATCCCTATGAGTTTAGTGCTTTGCCATGAAACAAAAAAATATATACTATATATGGAATTAGCAGATGCAGTTGAAGTCACAAAAGGACATCACATCCTGACTTTGCCAGAATCTCTTTGATAATCTATGGCTTAAGGCTTTCACCTCTTGAATAGAGAAATTGTATGATGTTCTATTTGCAGCTGTTAACTTATTACAGTTGGGCCTGGTTTGCATGTTCTCATGCTTTACCATTTACATCAGCATTAAACCTGTTAATATCCCCTCCAACTTTGTTTGGCCTGTTGGAATGCATAGACTATTCATCCAACTGGGCTACATCATACAACTTCAGGTTCTCGGTATCCTAAATGAACTATATTCACTTGGCACCCTATCATTCCCAGTTTTCCACTTCCTGTATATGGTTTTCCTATCCTGGTCTGCCAAACTTAAATTTCTTTGTCTCCACTGTGATTTAGCAGGTCATGATAATTACATGGCTACATGTCTTAGACTGAATTTACTTAAAATTTTGTCATGTTTTATCTGGGAGAAGGGGTAAGGGCAATAGGTTAGTTCATCTTCATATGCCTAGCTATTTTTTCAAAGCTCAGTGTCTATCATCAATGATTGTTTTTGTGTGTGCCTTTCACTGGTTCCCATTTGAAAGCCTACATTTACTGTTCATTACTACTGTCAAGATACTGTCACTTTCTTGTCCGCATTTATGATCCTACACCCTATAGAATAATCCCTGGCAATAGTCCAGTTGATACTTTCAATTTTTGCCCTGTATTACATCCATTTTATCTCTGTATAGCCCTTGTGGTTTAGCGCTTTTTTTGATAATAATAATAATAAAATCTGTCTTCAGACTAATTGCTTCCTCCAGTCTGACACCTTTTTCTGTTCACCCTGTTAATCCTTCTCCATCCTACTTTTGAAGGCACAGATACTTTGAATGCTCCTTCCTTCCCTTTCCCAAGCCTTTTATCTCTACTATGGACATGCTGTCGCTCTTCCTTTAGCATTTTCACTTGCATGCTACTGCTGCATTCACTGATGGCTCTAAATCCTGATAGTGTAGGATACACAGCAGGTTTTTTAGATAGTGTGATACTGGATACAGCTAGTTTTTATAGCAGTTATATGTACTTCTTACAGCATCATCCACATTACAACACAAAGTAGAAAAGTAACAATCTCTTTGGAGCTTTGATTTGTGGTATCCCATTGTCCTTTATTTCCTTTCAACACGCTGGCCGTCTCCCACTGAATCGGGGCTAGAGAGAGACACCTTGTTTGTTGCAGTTACACACATACTTTTAGTTAAATTTTGAGAATATAATATAAAATTGTTCTTTACAATTATTATAATCAAAACCAAGCGTTAAACCCACAAGGGTCATACAGTGAGTCCTTTATACATATTAGGCTGGCTGTAGTGCCTGTTCAGACATAGTCAGTTATTGATCAAACCACGGTCAAGTCTACTTTTCATTGCTGTTTCATTTGAAAAACTGTTTGAGCAACTAGATGTTGACCATATGAATTATTATAATTTACTTATTATAATAAAAACCAAGCACTGAACCCATAGTCATATAGCCTGACCATATGAAGCTAGATATTATCAGAGAAACACCCCTTTGTGAAATTTGCCAAACACCTTTTGAGTGTACCATTTTTCATAGACCTTATGTAATTCCTTTCTGGTCTCTTTCCGAAAGCCTTACCTTCAACTTAACACGCATTGACAACTAGACTAAAACTGACTTACGACAACTTTGACTTTCCTTGTTAGCTTGCAAGTTCACCCTTCATACTGCTCTCAGCAGTATGAAGTATTCCTAAAGATACTCCTATGAAACTATGTAAGCCTTTACTACAAAGTTTCACTAGAGGAGAGTTTTTTAAATTCATACAGGAAGCATGTCAGTTGCTCCTTATATAGGCCATCCTGTTGGGTTAGGTGTAGAGATGAGGACCTGGGTGATGTGGCTTACTCCTGTGCAGTAAGGACTGGCAACAGCTAAAAATATGGGAAATATGAGAAGTCTTTTTGGGGGTTTGCTGTATAGTATCATAGGTTTTATTGAAGGTTACACTCTTGTACTTCTGATCCCATCATCATGTGTGTTAGGTTCTGTCCAGGCTGTAAGATGTGTGTTCTTGTTACGATACGCTGCCCACACATTTACGTTCTAGGAATCTTGTTAAAATCATAGCATAGGCTGTCTCTGTAAAATTTGCTGCCCCTTGAACAATGAATGGTGTAGATTCCAGCCATGTTATTAGAGGTACTGTATTGTGGATACAGTATCCTATGATATTTTTAGTGGTTTGGTAAAATACCACTGCCATATGGAGGATGAATGCAACTGTAATAGTAGTGTTATCAGTGGGGAAGAATTATGTTTGCTAATCTCATACTTTCGTTGCAGATGATGTGGCACTCCTAGGTATTCATTGCTGCAAATGCTATAAGCTGAGGAAGAACCCCATCAGAACCTCACACTTTTTCTGCCATGGTGAGAAAAATGGATAAGGTCATCCTCATTGATGGATTTCCTGTAGACCTCAAGTTTGAAATGTTGCTGTCTTTGAGTAGTAGAACATTGAAGGGGGTAATAAAAAAATAGATAACTCTATAGAGGGTTCTAAACTGGCGAGTCGTTCCTAAGGTCTTCAAGCTTCTGACATTTATGGGCTACAACAGTGCTGTATGATCCTTTCAGGTATAGCATTTAACTTTTTTATAATAGACCACAAGGATGCCATCAACATGTTGCAGCCAGGTGACATGGGAAAAGGGGAGAGGATCATGTTGACAAAATGCTATACTTCACATGCTTCATATAGAGGCTAGCTAGTACCACACACACAAGCAACCCATGGTTGTTAATTTTTTCCTAAAGCTGTTGTCAAAATAAAAAACAGCAATTAAATTTAACAGAGTTCAGCATAAATGATGGAATTACTGCTTCCATTCCACAATTCTATGTATGATGTGATGATCCTGTGTAGTATGGCAGTGGCCTGGTTGGCAAGAACCCATGTGAATAGCAAGGTAACGTCTAGACTAACATTTCTGGTACTGAGGCTTTGTATCCTGTTAAAGGTGCACTGCTGATGCCTAACCATCATATTTCAAAATTAGGCACCATCAGCAGTTCATACTTCCATCATTTAGAACTCAACATAAAAAGCATCAGCATCTGAAATATGAAACTTTCTAGTCAGGATGTCACCTCCCTTTTCATAGGTGCACTGACCAATGCATCACCTTAGTACAGTGTCATCACATCAGACAAGGAATTACTACTACCATCCTGTGACTTTCGTCTTATTGAATTCTGTTAAATTAAATTTATTTCAATCTCTATATGGGGCATCTTGCCAAAAAATCCCCCTCGAATGCCAGCTGGTTACAAGATATTTGATATCCTTGTCATGGCTCCTAGACATCTCAGCCTTGGGGATCTGAGAAAGTAAGGGAAGAGTTTCTTCCCTTCCTCTGTTCTACTACTAAAAAGATTTCAACACTTTTAAATTCAAGGTCTGCATGAAACCCAAAGAGAATGATCCTATCTCTTTCTTTTCTTATTGTGACAGAAAAACCAAGTGGGGTGCTGTTTGCTTTCTTCCTCAGACCCTATAGGGTTTGTAGCAATGAAGGCTTACAAGAGTGCTTCTACATCTCAAACCCAGCAAATCTATTAAGTTCCCATGTGTTTTATTGCAGGCATAAGACACACTATACCTTGGAGTCTTCCAAACAACTTGGTTAACAGATGTATAGCTCTTCTCATTGGTAACGTTACTATTACAGTTGCACCCATTCTCCATATAATTAAAATTGAGGTAGCAGTGGTATCCAAAATGATTAAGGACATCACTAGACCTATATCCACAGTACATCTAACATGGCTGGGGTCTACATCATTCCTTGAGCCAAGTACAGTACACAGCCAGCCTAGAACAGGTATGTATACATAACTTATGATCTGGAATAAAGCCCAACTTCTGTTACACAAGGAGGATAGAGTCAAAGCGCACAAAGCCACCTTTATCCAAACCTACAATGTTACAGAGCCAAACACAGTTTGCTAAACCTATCACCCACATTCTCTGAAGGCACCAACCTTCACCCCCACAGCCTATGCAAGTACCAGTTGATATGCTGTCTAACTTTAAAATGCTCTCCTTGAGCAAAACATTGTTATAATAAAGACGTGATGTTTCCTGTGTTTTTTCGTCCACCTGTTAACTTTCTGAAAGAGGCAATAAGCCATTTCTAAATTAATATATAGCTATTATGCAGCCACATTATATGAAGTACCTGAGGCTATTTAATTTGAGACATTCTAAGATTTACAAGAGGATTCTTAGGGTAAGTTGGACTAGCATTTTATATAGTTGATATACAAATACCAGGTAAACAGTGACACCTTAGTAAATTTAATAGGGGCCACTACTAAGATAACATACATTTTGATCTTGCATTTGTGAAAAACAGTTTGAAGTGATCTTTATTGATAATTGCCTAGATTAATCATTGTATTTGTCAGAGAGATCTAGTCAACAAGTGTTAAAGGATATCTGGCATTTTTTTTTTTTTTTTTATCATTTATGATACACTTAAAAAATGTGACATTTTAATAAAGCTCTGATTAAAATTTAGCTATTGTATTATTATTATTATTATTATTATAATAAAAAAGAAGCGCTAAGCCACAAGGGCTATACAGCGCTGCACTATATATTGTAATATGCATTTTAATATTGTCACACCTAGAAAAAAAAAATTTTTCTTGACATTTAGAAACATTTCAAAATATTGTATTTTTAAGTATTGTAGGTCACGTATGCAGGTTTTGCTTATCTTTCCTAAACAATTGTGAAATTATCTTGATATATGATAATTTTATCTTTAAAAAAAAAAATGTTCCTCTGATACTCATTAAATACTTAGTAGATGTGTAAGAATTTAATATTGGCAATCAGTTTGAATTGCATGTCATAAGTGAATATAACTAAGTCTTTTGTTTAGTTGAATTTGAGTCACAGCAGTTGTGATGAATGATGATTTCAAGAAGCATGGGGTCACAAGTGTCTATGCAGCAAAAGTTTAGAGGTAGAGGAAACTTGTGCCTTTGTTATTGGTATGGCACTATTGCCAAAGATTTGTTTCATGTGACTTAAGGATGTTGATTTTAGTCAACCAAGATAAATAAATTGCTTAAATTATTTGACATTTATAAATTAAATGTGTAAAAAATCTGTAGTTTCCTTTCACCTGGAGAAAAAAATTATACTATGTTTACATAGTGCAAATGCACATGCTGTAGGTCAGATTATGGTCATAATAGGCTTCATAAGTGAATATCAGAGTAAAGGTCTTAAACTTTTTTTTTATGAACACACCTGCCGTTTTCCACCACGTAAAGGTGACCCAAAAAAGAAACACTTTCGTCATCGTCATTCGCTCCATTGTCTTGGCTGAGGTGTGCCTACACTCCAGTTAAAAAACTACAATATCAACACCCCTCCTTCAAAGTACAGGCACTGTACTTTTCACCTCTGGGACTAAGTCCAGCTTGCTGGTTTCCTTGAATTCCTTCATAATGTTACTTTGCTCACACTCCAACAGAATCTTGAGTCACAGAAACCATTGGTCTCCACTCCTAACTCATTGACACATGCTGGAAAGTCCAAGTCCCTCGCACACGAAACCACCTCTACTCCCTCCAACCTTTTCTAAACCGACCCCTACCCCACCTTCCTTCCACTACAGATTTATATGCTCTCCAAGTCATTCTATTTTGTTACATCCTCAACCCCTCTTCAACCCTCTGCATAATACTTTTAGTAACCCCTACACCTAATTTCCAAACTATGGATTCTCTGCATTATATTCACACTGCACATGGCCCTCAAACACACTATCTCTATTGCCTGTAACATTCACCACCAATGCTTCACACCCATTGATGTTCTTTGTCTCCACAGACTCCTCAGTGCACTGCTCACCTTTTTCTCCAATTCTATGATTCACCTTGTCTTTCATAGACACATCTGCTGAAAAGTCCACTTCCAATTATCTGAATACAGTCACTTCCTCCATACTCCCTCCCTCCAATCTGATATCCAATCTTTCATTACCTAATTTTATCCTCATCTCCTTACTCATTCCTGTGTTCACTTTCAATTTCCTTCTTTTACGTACCCTACCAACCTCCGCAACTTCTCTTCAGAATCTCCCAAAAGCAGTATCATCAGCAAAAAGCAACTGTGACAACTCCCACCCTGTTATTCTTTAATCCCACACCTCTTTCCAACACCTGAGCATGGCGATATCACACATCCCTGTATAAGGCCTACTTTTACTGAGAAATAATCTCCCTCTCTCCTACATTCTCTAACCTGAGCTTCACTATCCTCATAATTACACAGTATTTTGTGAGAACTTTAAATCCTCAGATCTCATTATTTGGACAAAAGGTTTAAATAAATTTGCAATTAAAGTCTTAATATTCTGAATATTATTTAATTGTGGTGATGTACTTTAAACTTCAAAGAAACAAGACAAAAGTTGTCAGTCAATAGAGAAATGACTTAAAATATAAACATTCTCATATGTTTAAAATGAAAATTACCATGAGTATAGTTATAAGAACATAAGAACCTGTTATAAATACAATAAAGGTACAAGTTGAAAGAAAATATTTAAAAAGTTATAATGACAACGTGGTCATGCATACAGCAAGGAAATGACTCTAGGTGCAGTAATAAATGTATGTTAAAGTGCATTCAGGATGTGAAAAAGTAATTACAGTACAGTAGAAACTCTTATAACAGTATATGAATAGAAACACTGAGGACCCTAGCAAAATCTTCACTACCCTAGTTTAACACTGCAGATGTTCTAAAAGTTCACTTCACTGCAAGGCCAGCATTGCTTGGCATGTGGGAATAACAAAATGTGTATTATCATGGTGGCAGTAGCTTTACTATTACTGAAAAAAAAAGGGGGGGGGGGGATTCAGTTGCTTGAGAGACTGATATAGCAGTTTTTACTGTACCACAAGTAAACTGGAATGAAAAGGCACAAGGAAATACATACACCAGCAGGAAGCCTCCATTAACTGCCTTAACACTGACAAGGAGGATCACCTCTCATCAATCACAGACGAGTACACGGGTGATGCAGGTGTCGGATGCTCAAACTCATAACCAATTTCTCAAATGCCTTGTTTACGATAAAATTTAACCATCAGATTAATATAGTGTAGCATATACATGGCATACATTATTACATTCACCAGTTTAGTGTATCAATACAGACCTACATACCAAATGCATACATATACTGTATATAGATCTATATGTCTATATAGAGTACATTCACACAGATCTGCAAGTCTTTGAAGAACTGTACATCAATACAACTCCTAGGCTATATAAAGCAAAGCTATATAGATCTATGCATCTATTTACAGTGCTGCATATATAAATCTATAAAACTAAATATTTATTACCAAAGTAATTTTAAAATAAAAAATATTGTGTGTAATTTACAAGAAGAAAATTTTATTAATTTCAATTATAGTTTGCATTACATCTTTTTACTGTTATGTAATAAATGCAGAGTTAATCTGTTTCTTCATAATTAAAGCTGGTGAATAAGTTGGTGTGCAAGTGTAGTGCAATAAAATATTTTTAAATTTATGATTAAAGAATACTTTAAACAGTAATTCCTGATACCCTGATGCTGGTGAAGGGCTCTTAATCTAAGGAATATAGGCTATCCTCCCAAACCCAAGTACCTCCATTTCTCAAGTGCTGCATGACCCTTATGGGTTTAGAGCTTCCCAATGACTAAGACAATAATATGAATAATAATGAATGAGGCAGCAATAAAGAAAAACTAGTTATTAAATAATTAATTACCTTATTAAAGTTACATTTTCAAGTTATTTTTTCAACAGTTATTTAACACAGAATGAGATAACTAATATTAAAGTTCAGGATGCTCAAAGATCCTTAGCCAAACCAGACACACCATTAAGCAGTTAACCATTATGGGCAACTCTTATGAACTGGAACAATATGATGTATAACATCCAGCTGAGTCACTGTATATGTTCACATTCAAGCAGCTGCATTAAGAGCAAGGCTATTTTGGCTGACACAAAGGGTCCCAATAAAGCTCAAGCCCTTAGACAGGTGAAAAGCTAGGCATTTTTTTTCATAGTACTGTATCACATTTGCTTTAAAGAGCAAACATCTGGTTGTCTTTATCATCACGGGCCATTGTTCGTTGATGCTGACCCGAGGATCCTGTGGCAGCAGTGATGGTTGGTAAAGCATCTGCTGCTGCTGCACGCTCTGCCAAGAAGCGGTCAAACTCTGATGATGAAATAGTCTCCTCTCTTTACTCCTGCTCCAGATTTTGCATCACCTGGCTGTATGGTATACAACAGGTTAGAATGTATCTCATAGGCATTTAAAAATTGTGCAATACTTAGTTTAAGAATATATGGAGCATAAGTCTTAGAATAATGTTCCATATATATAAATATATATATATATAATATATATATATAAATATATATATAAATATAAATATATAAATATAAATATATATATATAAATATATATATATATATATATATATATATATATATATATATATATATATATATATATATATATTATATATATATATATATTATATATTTTTGGGTCACCCTGCCTCGGTGGGAGACGGCCGACTTGTTGAAAAAAAAAAAAAAAAAAAAATATATATATATATATAAAATATATTAATGGAGTAAACTACACAACTATCAAAGATACTGTAATTCAGCAGTACCTTAACACTATTTTCGTTCACTGGATATCTTTAAAAAATTAAAAAACAAAAAACTGCAAAGCGGAACTGCATATGTCATAGTATACAACTAGAGCAGATATTCACATCCACAGTATAGAGTATGCTCGGCAACACAAAACCAGAAGTGAAAGCTTCACTGTGCATCCATCATCGATAACAGACATTACTTACTTGTTCATTCAGCCACGCCTCCATCTCATCAAAGTCACTGTCTTTAAGTTGCTGGAAAACATACACACACAAAAGCATCACATTAGCCATTTAGGTTTGAGAGAATGAAGAATGATGGCTTAAAAGTATAAAGGGAGCATAAATACAAAAATAAACAATTTTGAAAACATTCATACCATCTACTCTAAAAATAACAATAGTCTAAAAGTAGTTTAAGAATTAGACATGTCTAATTTTCACTAAACTCAGTCTTTCCCATCTTAAGTCACTTGCACTAATACAAAACTAACAATTATTAAGCTTTTTTTGTGGTACTGTCAAATCACATGCACAATGTCATGTGATTCAAAAGCACAGAAATACGAGTTTTAGAGTTCTTGAAGAGGTGACAATGGGGTGCAAGAGAAAGCCAAAGTATGAGTGTACAAGAAAAAATTAAGATGAAAATCTTTAATTATGTCTGAACTTTTAAATATGGTATTTTATCTAAATGAAAATAATCTTGAGCTCAGGAGTTCATAATACAATAAATCCTCGAATAACAGTTTCGTTATAACGATGAGAAAAAAATTTATTCCCGGCCAGGGCCACTGTGTGGAGACAGTAAAATAAAAATTTGTAAAGTGTGTATACAATAATCATACAACTGCACAATAAATAATGCACTATGAAAGCGCTCGGCAAGCCCGCCATATTTAAGATTGTTTTTAAACTGTGTGGCTGTAGGAGTTGCTCCTTACAATTTTCCCTTTACAAACATTTACTCCTTGATTTATCCATTGCAATGAGTTCTAAAGGTGCACTGTGCACTCCTGATGCTTGTAGCCACAAAAAAAAAAAAAAAAAAAAAAAAAAAAAAAAAAAAAAAAATTGACATTAGAAACAAAACTAGAAGTTTTAAAGAGGTTTGACAATGGACAGCGAGGTGTGATTTCATTATAGAGCCTCTCCTCACTTAGCAACGTACTTGTTTACCGACGCCTCGGACTTACGGCGGGCTCTCTGACCAGTATTCATACCTAAATAATGTATATTAGAGCTGATTTCCTCTATTCTGTTTATTTCAATATAGAGTACACTACTATATAAACATTTAAAAATACAGTAGGGCCCCTTTAATGGCAGTTCGCCTTACGGTGTTCCACTAATACGGCGATTTAAAATTATGACCAAAATTTGCGATACGGAAAACGGTCTTTCAAATATGGCGCGCCCCACCCAGTTTGTTTACATTCACCATAAGCACATCTGTTTTATGTCTGGAAGCTTTCCAAAATTTCAAGTGTTTTAAAGTTATTGTGTATTTTATATGTACTCTGATAATTATGCTTATGTGTACCTGTACTTAAATATACTTACACACTGTGCTGGCGTGCAGGTACACATTAAAATCACTAAGAGTCTCTACTTATGATGCCATAGTAATATGTACTACGTTTTTTTTTTTTCTTTTTTTTCAACAAGTCGGCCGTCTCCCACCGAGGCAGGGTGACCCAAAGAGAAAGAAAATCCCCAAAAAGAAAATACCTTCATCATCATTCAACACTTTCACCTCACTCACACATAATCACTGTTTTTGCAGAGGTGCCCAGAATACAACAGTTTAGATGTACATACGTATAAAAATACACAATATATCTCTCCAAACTGCCAATATCCCAAACCCCTCCTTTAGAGTTCAGGCATTGTACTTCCCATTTCCAGGACTCAAGTCTGGTTATATAAAATAACCGGTTTCCCTGAATTCCTTCACTAAATATTACCCTGCTCACACTCCAACAGATCGTACTACGTATATAATAATAATCTCTCTCTGGTACATTAACCCTTTGACTGTCGCAACCCCCAATCCTGAGGTGTCTCCTGGTGTCGCAAAATTTAAAAAAAAAAAAAATTATTTTTTCTTATGAAATGATAAAGAATCTTTTCCCGATTGTAACGACACCAAAAAAAAAAAAACGAAATTTGATGGAAAACTGACGGAATTATGCTCTCGCGAAGTTAGCAACCTCGGTGCTGTTTACAAATCGGCGATTTCGCCCACTTTGAGCACTATTTTCGGCTAATTCCATTGTTCCAGTTGCCCAAACTTATAGCTATTTCTTTAGAACTCCATTTTTTCTATTGATTGAGTACAAGAAACTGCCCATTTACCGATTTCAGCTACCTAATAATGTGGTCAGAAATTTGCAATTTGGCCAATTTCACGAAAACTAAAAAATATGACAATTTCAAAATAAGGTCCAGAATGAACAATGCAGACATTCCTGGCTCTAAAATAACATTTTCTTTGCTCATCAGTCATGTCTCCAGGCCCCTCTGATATTACTCTTGCTTTCTATTTTGAATTTTTATTCAAACAAAAAATAGAAGACTTACTATTATGCAGACTACTGTAATAATTGTATAAATAACATCAACCCATTTATGACTGCATATTAGAATGGCTAGTTGGACATTTATTGGACAATGGCATCATTTGTTTACTTTTGAACATTGGCAAAAATCAAACATTTCCCCTACTTTGAGCTCCATTTCTAGGTTCTTTTTATAGTAAAATCAATCAAAATCACCTCTATTTCTGTAACATGTTTTCCATTCTATCAAATGAGACCAAGAAAACGAGAATATAACCATAAATACTATACGAAAATAGACCACAAAGTCGGCATTTTAATTAAAAAAAAACGGTCGGAGTTTTTTTTTTCTCATTATGCACTGCGTGCTCCAGGATTTTTTTTATATGGTGCACACTGACCACACAGACCCATTCTCTCACATGTGGGCCTACCAGCTTTCTCCTGCATGATTTGAAGCCGCTAGAATTTATGAGTATATATACGTCAAACACGGTACCTCGTAAGACGTATATATACGGCCGCGACAGTCAAAGGGTTAAATGTCTTATTTTATGTTAATATAGACATTTTCATTAATCCATCTATGATATTTTCTTCAAAAAAATATAAGAAATCCATACGTTACATAGCATATAAACATACATACACCCAGAGAATAAAAATTGACATATGAGATTTGTTTACAAAGAGGCTTTGTAGGAGTGTGGGAAGAATTACGTTTTCTCTAGTCAAACACTGGGGGATAACTGAAGATAAATATTCCTTTCATATGCCTTCACTCTTTATATAGCAATTCATGACCCTTGTGGGTTTAGTGCTTCTTTTTTATGATTATAATAATAATTTGTAATAATAATGTCAGAGCATCATTCCTTCTAAAAATTACATGAGACTGGAAGTGTTGGTCTTTATTTATTCTACTGTACCACTATGGAGACAACTTGTATACAATGTAAGGTGTTTGTATGAATGTTTATGAACCATAACCAGATGCATTGTCTGTTTGTTTACATAGTGTGTGGGGGGGGCGGGCGGCTTCCCTACACTCCCCTACCTACCACCCGACTTTTACAATAAAATATTTTTTCACCTTCCACCCTCTTTAAAGACAACAAATATTTTAAGGTAATTTAATGAGTTACTGTATTTTATCCCCCTTGGGAGCTTTGAGCATCGCGAGACGTTTTTTAAATGGGGGTGGGGGGGCCCGGGAAGGCTACCACCCTAACTTCTTATTATTTTTGTGTTTTTTACTTTTTTGTTTTAAATGCCAAATTCTTAATTATATTTAGTGTAAACTTGCTTCTGGCTTTATAGGATTTTTTTTTTTTTTTTTTTTTTTTTAACAAGTCGGCCGTCCCACGAGGCGGGGGTGACCCAAAAAAGAAAGAAAACCCCAAAAAGAAAATACTTTCATATCATTCAACACTTTCCCCACCCGACTTTACCTTTTTTTTGCGAGGGGTGCTCAGAAACAACGTCAAAAAGCATACACATTAAAGATACACAACATATCCCCCCAAACTCCAATACCCAAACCCCCTTTAAAAGTGCGGGCATTGAAATTCCCATTTCCGGACTAAAGTGACATATGAAAAAAAAACCGGTTTCCCGAATCCCTTCACTAAAAATTACCCTGCTCACACTCCAAAGATCGTCAGGTCCCAATCCATTCGCTCCATTCACTCCTATTAACACGCTACGTACGCTTGCTAAGTCCAAGCCCTTACCCACAAAACCTCCTTACCCCCCCTCTCCAACCCTTTCGAGACGACCCCTACCCCCCTTCCCTTCCCCCATGATTTATATGCTTTCCATGTATTTTACTTGATCCATTCTCTCAAAAGACCCAAAACCCCCTCAAAACCCCCCTTCGCCCTCTGCTAATCTTTTTAATTAATCCACACCTTTTCCTAATTTCCACACTCCGAAATTTTCTCATAATATTTTCACCACACATTGCCCTTAAACGGGCATCTCCACTGCCTCCAACCCTCCCTCGCTCTCATTTACCACCCCAAACTTTACACCATATAAG